GGTCACGTGGGGCAGCAGCTTGCGGGCGGCCTCCTTGGCCAGCACCCGGCGGAGGGCGTTCCTGGCCACGGACTGCGCGAAGACCGTGCCCAACGCGCTTGCCATGCGCTGGCGCACGACTGGGCTGCCGCCCTCCGCGGATGACTGCCGGGCCACCGAGGGCTGCCTGTTGAAGAAGGTCAGATGGGTGTCGCGCTTGCCGATCGGCTCGCCGACCTCGGCGAGCGACGTGTGGACGAGGGGCGCCAGCTGACCCGGCGGCGGGCGCTCCGGGCCCGCGGGACGGCGCACCTCCTCGAGATTGATTTGCCCCCCCCCCCCCCCCGTAAAATCCGCTGCGGGGGGGGGGGGGGTGGTCCGGCCTGCAAGCGCCACAACATGCTTGTGAGCACCAATGCAAAGAATGCCTGTCAGCGCCACAGCATGCCTGCGAGCCCCGCGTCATGCCCGTGGGGGCGGCGCCCCCCTCCCACACACCGCGTACGTTCGGCACCGTCACGGTACCGTTACTGTGAGGGGGGGAGGGGGGGCGACCACCCCAAAAGGACATTACAAACTCACCGAATGAAAAACAGTCTCCTCCGACAGCGGCCCCAGGCGCAGCCACCTTGGCAAGTACTCCGTGGTCCGGTGGCCAAAGTTTGGCGAAGATGGCATCCCGCTCGAGGCTGCCCAGGCGCCCGTGCCAATAGCCAGCGAAGGCGCCGAGCTGGACAGCGAGTGGGCATTGCCCATGGAGAGCGAGCGGGCGGCGGCGTGCGACCCTGAAAACCTCGTGTAGAGTCGCTCAGTGATCAGCTCCCGCGTTCTGTGGTTCACGCTCTGAAGCCCCTCCGACGTCCGCGAGAGCTGCTGCCTGACCTCCTCGAAACTGATGACGTCGGACATGCTCGACATCTCCTCCGCCACATTGAGGCCGATGTGGCCGCTGCTCCCCAAGCTGGGCGACTTCGTGGGTCTCGTCCGCCGGGCAGCGTGGCAGTCGGTGGTGCCCCTACTGCTAGAGGAGCTGTGGACGCTAACGACATCTGGAAACCTACCAGACCTGGGGAACCAGAAAGACATCGACACTGCCGCTCTCCAGAGGAGAGGAGGTCTCTCCAGGAAACCCCCAAAGGGCGGCGACGAAGGAAGGAAGTCGGTTTCGCTACGCTTTTCAATCGTTTTTTCGAGGAAGCCACATGAGAACCCTACGCCTGCAGGTCAACGGTCTAAAACACCGGCGGGGGCTCAGAGCATGAAGGACGTCTGCAGCCAAGGCGGACACCAGCGAGGGTCTTCGATACGCACGTGCCGCTTGGACCCGCAGGGGTACGACCAACATGCCATCGTACAGAACGCCAAATGAAGGAACTGCCCGGGAAGCAGAGCCCATCCCGAAGGTGGTCCTCACTCCAACGTCTTGGCTGCAGGGTTCGAAGGTCGTCGAAGGCTTGAAGTATCGGGGGGCCTTGCCGTCGCGTCGTGGCCGCGCAGCGGCTTCGGCGGCTCCGCTCGCCGCGCGCTGTGGCGGGAGGGGATGCGGCTGCTGGGGGTCTTCTGCCGCGCCCGCTTGAGATGCGGCGCAGGGTTCGGCAACATCGCCGCTGCCCTCGGGGCCCCGAAGACGGGGACTCTGGCATACAGCCACCCTGCTACAAGACACCCCGCACAATTGACAGTGATCGAACGGGCTCTCGGCCACAGCTCAAGAATCTTGGGAACGGCTCGGATGCCAGCGAGCCCCTGCTGGGCTCAGAGTGGTCCTTACGTTTGCGTCCTGACTGCGCGTGAAGGCACCCACCCAGCGCGCAGAAGGGGGGTGGCGCGAAGGGGGGGGGGTCTTCCGAGAAGACGGGAGAGGCCGTCTTAGAAGGCATGAGGCCTTTCTTAGGAGGGCCCAGGTACGTAGAAAGGGCCCCGGCATGAGGCCTTCTTAGAAGGGTCTTCTTAGACAAGAATTCTTGGAGGGGCCGCTTTGTAAGAAGGCGCCTTAGACAGGATGGCTTCTACGACCCCTCCTGTCCTCTACCGCCTTCTGAGAAACCCGCTCCTCTCCTCGCGCGATCCCCTCGTGCACACTGGCGTGCCCGAGAACAGACTGCAGCTGTAGATCGAAGCAATCTCCGCTCTTCGTTGCTCCCCCGCTGGGTCTCACAACGACCTGGCTTGTCGGGGGGGGGGCGGGCTGGCCTGGCTCGGCCAGCGCCACGTCGTGAACCTAGGCCTGCCGCCGAAAGCGTCCGAAACTCAGCTCAGCGGAGGGCGGGGATGGGGGGTGTCGTCTCCACGCGGTGCACGGTTTCCCCCGGGGCCGTAGGCGAACCGAGGAGGAGGAGGAGGAGGAGGAGGAGGAGGAGGAGGAGGAGGAGGAGGATGAGGAGGAGGAGGACGAGGTGGAGGAGGGGGAGGGCGAGGCGGAGATGGAGGAGGAGATGGAGGAGGAGGAGGGAGGAGGAGGAGAGAGGAGGAGGAGGAGGAGGATGAGGAGGACGGGTCGCTCAAGCCCTTTGGAGAAACCCTCCACCACGTGGCTCCCACTCTCTGGGTCGGCCAGGGGAGGTCGGAGAGAATTCGCTGACCTCAATTCTGACTGTCTCCAGTTATCCGCGCTCCGACTGTCGGGCGCACGCTAACGTGGACCAGCAGATTCCTGAATCTGGCGCGCGGGCGCCAGGTCCAACGGATCGCGCCGATACCTGTTCTGGCGACGGAGCGAGACTGGTCTGCAGTGTCCTGGTTTTCGGGACCCTGCCAAACCCCGACCCCTGGCCGCACCTCCGGCCCTCGGGCCAGAAGCTGCGGTGACGGACGACTGGGGGGTCCCTCGATCACTCCCTCGCGGCATGGCGGCGTGGGCGACGGGGGCGAGAGGCCTTTACGGCGGAGGCGCCCATTACGGCACCAGCGGTTGAGGGTATGCGATCGGTGAGCAGCAATGGGGATAACTACGGTTTCACACATCTGGTCAGGTGCTTCGATGGTGGATTGTGAACCATCCCACGGCACATTGAATGCGGACCTAAGTCTCTGACGCAACCAGCACAGGCGGGACGCCCCGCGGACGCACCACGAATATGTCGGGCAAAATGGTGGTGCACGGCGCCCTCCAGGTTTGCCCTGCTGCGCAGCTTGCGTGGCCACGCAGGAGAACAGCCACAGACGGCGGCGGCTGAACTGCAGCGACGACGCTGGATTCGGCGAACAATGCCCCACTAAACCAAACGACCTGGCGACCAAAACCAAAGACGAATACGAGCGTCTTTGTGGGCCGCGCGCAACGAGTGGAAGCGCAATCCTGCCGCCACGCAACACGCGGCACAAGGACCTGCGCCGTTCTTGGCAGCGCACTCCATGCACAAGAATGCGATGATGAGAAAGGTTAGGAGGGAGGAGGTCGCCTTATCCCACACACCCCCTCCCGACTCTGAAAACATTGGCAAGCCCTGACAACGCAGGCCGGAAAACCTCTCAATAGAACTGCCAGTTGGGAATTAAAAATTGCCACAAGCGACTGGTACGTACATATACTTACACTAGTTCTAAGGCCCGGGCTGCCCACCCCCCACCACCCCAATTAAAGGTCCCGGCGAACGGATCGCGACGCTACGCACGCTTTCCGTCTAAAGTATCCACATACAAATGTACACACACATGTATACGTGCATGTGTAAATATAGCGTTATCGGTTGCAGCCATGGGCCCACCACGAGTCCGACCCACACTTTGTGCGTACATATCTACAGACACTTGCATCGATCTCGCGATGGAAGTAATGGCTTGCGCGAGGAAAATGATCTGGACGCAAGCTGGCACACTAGCACGAGTAGAGATTGTCAGCATCACATCAAACCGAATGCCCTAACCTCGGACTCACTAACCTTCTCGCTGAGGGGCGCGCGGGCTCTGTCCTGATCGCTCGTGACCGGCGCAAACGCGTTGGATCCCTGAGCAATTCCCCCCGTCTCCGCGTGACTCTTGGAGGCCATCATCGTCTCCACAGAGACCGCCCTCAGGACCTCTGACACGCTGATGGTGCCCAGCGCGGATGACTTGCGGCCAGCGAACGGATAGGAGTCTGACCCGCGCTGGCACTGCGCGTTGATGTTCACGCTGCAAGTGGCGAGCGCACACGAGTCCAAGATGTGCGACAGGTGACGGCCTCCCTGGGCGGCCGAGCTTGTGAAGAGGGCCACCTGCTGACTAAAGTGGACGTCCGCCAGGTGCTGCAGAACCTCCTCGATGTCCGAGTACTTGCCGATGGCGACCTGAGGACCGAATTGCTCCTCGTGGAAATCGCGCATTTCCTTGGTCACTGGGTACAGCACGGCGGGACAAACAAGAGTGCGATCCGTCTCGCCGCCGCGGTCGTTGAGCACCTTCGCGCCCTTGGACCTGGCGTCGTCCACGAGCTCGGCGAGGTACTTGGGCTTCTCTGGCTCCGGCAAGGGGGTGATGGCGCTCTGGCAGGGTTCGCATGGTGCCACCGTACCAATTTCGGCACACTCCTCACTCGTCTCGTGGCCCTACAGGAATCTCCTCCGAAGGCCCCAGTGGCAGAGTTCGCATGGCGCCATCGCGTCCACCTCGGCACGCCCCTTACACGTTTCGTGGCCCCAGAGGTTGACCGAAGGCCCTGGTGGCAGGCTTCGCAGGCTTCGCATGGCGCCACCGCACCCATGTCGACACACCAAGCACACGCTTCATTGCCCCATGAGGAGCTCCACCGAACGCCCCAGTGGCAGGGTATGCATGGCGCCACCACACCTATTTCGGCACACCCCTCACACGCTTCGTGGCCCCATAGGGAGCTCCACCGAAGGTCCCAGTGGCAAGGTTCGCACGGTGCCACCGCATCCATGTCGGCACACCCCTCACACGCTTCGTGGCCCCATAGGGTGCTCATCCGAAGGCCCCCGTGGTAAGGTTCGCGTGGTGCCACCGCACCCATGTCGGCACACCCAGCACAAGTTTCGTGGCCCCATAGGGAGCTCCACCGAAGGCCCCAGTGGGAAGGTTCGCATGGCTCCACCGCGCAAATTTTAGCACACCCAGCGCAAGTTCCGCTGCCCCAGAGGGAGTTCCACCGAAGGCGGGGCAAGCAACTGCGGTACTCGCACATGCATTTGGTTGGGTACTTCGCCAGTCCAGGACACTTTTTCAAGTTGCCCCCGCCGTCCATTAGTCAGGCGGGATGCGGGGCGAGGTAGACAGGAGGAGAGATAGGGAGGGGGAGGGGGGACGGATTGAAGGAGAGATGCGGAGGAGTGAGGAGGGAGAAGGGCGGAGCAGGGTAGAAGGAAAAAGGAGGTGAGAGGGACGAGATAAGAGGAAGGGATGAGGAGAAAAGAACCGCCCCTCCGCACTCGCCTCCTCGTTCGACCTTTCCGTCATCATTCTCCTTCTCTCACTCCTCCAATTCCGCTATCCCACTGTTCCCGCTCTGCTCGTCATTGGCCATCTGAGGATGTCCCGTGGGAGGCTTCTGGAGAGCCTTTTGGACACGTCCTGAAAGCTTTCTTGGCGCCTTTTAGGGGCGCCTCTTTGGGTTTGGGGGGACCCTCGGGGGCCTCTTGGGCCGGGACCTCTCGGGGGCCTCTTGAGTGCTCTAGGGGCATTTGAACGCCTCTTTGGGGTTTCGTGGCCGCCTCCTGGGGGTTCGTTAGGGCCTCGTGGGGGCCTCTGTGGGGAATCGTGGATACCTTTTCGGGCGTCTTTGGTGGTCTCTTGGGGCTTCTCGGGGCGCCTCTTGAGACCATCTTGGGGCTCTCGTGGAGGCCATGCGGCAGCCTCGGAATAGCATAGAAGGCACTCATCATTGATTGCCTTTCGGTTGTTCAAAGGTATTGGTTTCTCGAGGACTTCCTTGGAGCCCTCTTGGGCAATAGTAAGGGCCTCTTGGATGCTTCTTGGCACTGTCTTGGGCGCTTGTGGGGGCCTCTTGACCCGTCGGGGAGCCGTCGCGGGCTGTCTTCTTGGGCTGTCTCAGAGGTATGCTGGGCGTCAAAGGAGCCTCAGGAGAGCCCCTGGGGTCTCTTGGAGGCGCGGGAGGGCGGTACCGGGGAGGGGCCGCAGATGCCATCGAGGCGCAGGTCGGAGACGTTGGGGGCGTATATGTATGTATGTTGTATGTATGTATGTATGTATGTATGTATGTATGTATGTATGTATGTATGTATGTACGCACGCACGCACGCACGCACGCACGCACGTATGTATGCATGTATGGTTGTATGTATGTATGTATGTATGTATGTATGTATGTATGTATGTATGTGTGTATGTATGTGTGTATGTATGTATGTATGTATGTATGTATGTATGTATGTATGTATGTATGAATGAATGAATGTATGAATGTATGTATGTATGTATGTATGTATGTATGTATGTATGTATGTATGTATGTATGTATGTATGTATGTATGTATGTGTGTATGTATGTATGGTTTTATGTATGTATGTATGTATATATATATATATGTCTGTGTCTATGTAGATGTAGATGTAGATGTATATGTATATATGTATATATACATATACACACGTGTCTATATGTACTCCTCTCCCTATATGTTTTACAAGCGGGGCGGGTGGGACCCCCCCTTCCGACCCACCCTTCCCCCCGAATCCCCAGCATCCACGGCTTCCGGGACCCCCGGACATACTTGCCAAAAGGTCACCCGGCTCGTCCAGGACCTCCCAGGGCGCCTAGCTGGGTCTTGCCAGCAGACCCCAAGCGATCAGAGCGGTGATCAGAGAGGCCGAAGAGAGACACAAGACAGCACAAGAGCGCTCCAAGAGGAACCCAGATGGCCTCCAAAGGCCCCCAAGACGGCCCAGGAGGCCCTCAACCTGACTTCCAGAACGCAGAAATCGCATCATTCCCTGAGGGAAACGTGCAATTCCAGCATATTCGCTGTTCGGGTCTTCGCAGCGTCCACAACAACCAGAAAAGGCCTACAGTATCGTCCCAAGACGACATAAAAAGCCGCCAAGAGAGCCTTTAGACGGCCTGGATGGCCCCAAGACTGTCCAAGGAAGCCCCACATGAGTCAAAAAGAAGCCCAGCATGCCTCCAGAAGGCGCTCAAGAGAACCTCAAGAAGGCACGGGAGGCCCCCAAAAAGGCCATGGGAGGCCACCAGGGGGGCCTACGCACCCCAAGACTGCGCAAGGAAGCCCCAAAGGAGCCAAAAAGAAACCCAAGAGGCCCTCAGAAGGCGCTCACGAGAAGCCAAAGAAGGCACGGTGAGCCCCCAGAAAGGCAATGGGAGGCCACCAAGAGGGATACGTAGCCCCCGTAATGTTCCCGGGGGGACCCAAGCTCCCTAACACGGCCCAGGATGGCCCCAAAACAGCTCAACTGGGCGCCCAACCGGCCCGCCTGGGCTCCAACAAGACCCACACGGCGACTTCCCCAAAACTGATCCGAATCCTGGCTTCGCAACCACATTTTCCGAAAATCTGTTGCGAACCCGGGATTCGGTCCATTCTTTACGAATTACTCACGCTCGCGTGCCCCGTTGCGACCCGCTGCAACATGACATCCTCGGCTTTGCCTTGCTTTGTACTTTGCAACATTGCTTGACATTGCGTCGGTTTGCTTGGCGTTTCCTTCCCCTGCTCCTCTGGGCCCTCCTCCTCCTCCTCATCATCATCTTTCTGCCGCCCCACCACTCATCCTCCCCCACATCCGCTTCCTTCCATCGCTCCCCGACATTCCCTCCTCCTATCCTTCGCCCTCCACCCAGCGCCTTTCGGGGGCCCCTGGAGGCCCTGGAGGGCCAGGGACCTCCCGAACTTTCGAAGACTTCTGCACACCACCGCAGGGAAGGGGTCAAATTTCTACGGCCACTAGGGATGGCGCGAACGACCAACAGATGCAAAGCCTCAAGGACCAAGGTGCATCGCGCGAAGCGCCAATGCAGTCTTGTGTGTATATACATGTATGTATGTGTATATATACATATATATATATATACAACTATGTCGGCGTGTGTGAGGGGCTTTTCCGGTCGAGTCGGGTTTTTCTGTTGGAGTCGTCGTCTCAGTCCTCCTCTGGTCCATTTGCCTGGGCTCCTTCCCTCATACGCGCCGTCCAGAGCAAAATTGAACAACATAGGAGTGGAATCGAAGGGAAGCCCCTTCCCTTTGATCCCTTCCCCGTGCCAGGGGGGGGGGGGCCTGGGGGGGTCGCCACCCAGATACGCTTTCCCCCGCGTGATTCCGAAACCCTCGCGCGGCCCCCGCGCTGTCCCGTGAAGCTCCCAGAAGGCCCCAAGAGGTTCCCAAGGCCCCAAGAAGCCCCCAAGACACCCGAAAAGGCCGCTGAGAGGTCCCCAACTGGCAGGCACCCAAGAGACCCCACAATTCCTCCCCAGAGGCCCCCGCCAGCCTTCACAAGAGACCCGGAGAAGCATACCCGAGGACTCGGGCCCACGTCAGCGTCGTCGTCGTCGCCGCCGCCACCGCCGCGGTCGTCGTCGACGTCCCCCTTCAGGGTCGGCGGCACCGGCCGTGAGACCTTCGCAGTGTACATATATATATATATGTATGAATGTATAAATATATATATATATATATATATATATATAAATATATATGTGTGTAAATACATATGTTTACAAACAGCTGTGTATAAGTGTATTCATCGGTGTATATATATAAATGTACATATATATAAACATGCCGATTGACATGTTTACATATATATAAAGATTTATGCAGATCGATGTATCTATAATGTGGGTCGATGTGTATGTTGGTTAGTTTGTATGTGTAGGTCTTGTGCGCATATGGCATTACTGTATATATGGATACGTGTAATTATGCATGTCTGATACATGATTTGATATATGATATGCCGTAGCTCATATATGTATATATGTGTGTATACAAGCATGCATGTAGTATGTGTGTGTACATCGATAGATATATATATAATAATAATAATAGTACTAATAATAATAATAATAATAATAATAATGCATATGAATGTGATATTCCTTATGTGTGTCGGTTGTATGCGTTATATGTTTGGTATATCTGGCGTGGTTGGTAGACTTATACATTTATATAATAAATACACATGCGTATAAAAAAAGGGGGTCCATCTTCGACGGGGATGCGTTCGAATGGCCCCCTGGGGGGATTCCCAGATTTCCTCCCCTGTTTTATGCGACCAATTCTTTTGGGGGATCTTTGGCTTGGCGGGAAATCGCTTACGACCCCCGTCGTGTAGTTTCGGCCAGGGCTCGGGCCCCTGGTCACCGCTTGAGACGGTGAGGGCACCACCAGAACGCTCCCGGCGAGGCGCAGCTGCTGGAGAGCATTCCGAGGCTGGAAAGCCTCCTAGGCCCGACGAAAAATACAGAAAAAAACCTCGAAGCCTGTGCCCAGTGCTGGAAACCTCGGTTCGGGGCGAGGTGTTATCTGCGACAAACAGCGGCTCACGGAGCCGGAAACTGACGACTGGCGAAAACCGAACCCGGCCGAAGTCGACAGGGCGCAAGCCCAGACCTTGGACGCTCTGACATGGTCAGTCCAGGAGCTTTCCCTCGATTTCGGCCCCTGGGCCTCGCTGCTGGGGCCGGGGGAGCTATAGTACAATGTTTCGCCCCTCCGGGGCGAAAAACTGCACCCAGGACAGGGGTCGGGAACTCTGGGACCGCGGATCGAACAACAAGACCGGAGGGCGCACCCAAGAAGGGCGCAGCGACGCGGCACTGACCGACACAACCGAACCGGCCGAACGCCACCGCCTGCGACGCAGCCGCACAGGCCGAAACGCGAACGCCCTTGGCGACCCTCTTCCTTCTCCTGGCATTAGGTCGGGCCTGTCCCCCTACAGAGGAATTTTGGACGCAAATTTAGAAATACCCTAAAAATACACCCAAAATGCTCAAAAATAGTCGAAAGATAGTCCCCGGACTATTTTTCTTCCCCACATCCTGAGTGGGGCTCTTGTTTTCCCAGAACACCCTCTCCTTCCCACCCGCCTCCCGCTCCATCTTCCATACAGCACCATATTATTCCTACCACACACACCATACAGCACCATTCCCTCCAGGGAGGCCCCGCCTGAGCGAGGAGGGTATCGGAATACCATACTATTTACATGGTTTCGTGCCCCTCCCACCCCTCCAGGGAGGCCCCGCCTGAGCGAGGAGGGTATCGGAATACCATACTATTTACATGGTTTCGTGCCCCTCCCACCCCTCCAGGGAGGCCCCGCCTGAGCGAGGAGGGTATCGGAATACCATACTATTTACATGGTTTCGTGCCCCTCCCACCCCTCCAGGGAGGCCCCGCCTGAGCGAGGAGGGTATCGGAATACCATACTATTTACATGGTTTCGTGCCCCTCCCACCCCTCCAGGGAGGCCCCGCCTGAGCGAGGAGGGTATCGGAATACCATACTATTTACATGGTTTCGTGCCCCTCCCACCCCTCCAGGGAGGCCCCGCCTGAGCGAGGAGGGTATCGGAATACCATACTATTTACATGGTTTCGTGCCCCTCCCACCCCTCCAGGGAGGCCCCGCCTGAGCGAGGAGGGTATCGGAATACCATACTATTTACATGGTTTCGTGCCCCTCCCACCCCTCCAGGGAGGCCCCGCCTGAGCGAGGAGGGTATCGGAATACCATACTATTTACATGGTTTCGTGCCCCTCCCACCCCTCCAGGGAGGCCCCGCCTGAGCGAGGAGGGTATCGGAATACCATACTATTTACATGGTTTCGTGCCCCTCCCACCCCTCCAGGGAGGCCCCGCCTGAGCGAGGAGGGCATCAAGAAAATGGGTCCCACGAAACCGTTAATCTCTTATGTGGGGAACTCCGTTAGCATAATTTTTTTACTATATTTGAATATTCCTCCTGCAGAGGGACAGGCCCGACTTGATCGTGGCAGCAGGGGCTTCCTTTCCGCGCCAGCGCGCGACGCAGCTGACTCGAGGGCGGGCGAGCGCGCGGGGGCCGGAGCAGGGCTGCGCCTGCGCAGCGACGCCTACGGCGTGCGCACGGGGAGGCGCAGACGAGCACAGTGCCCCACCTCTGGGAGATCACACGTCGGGCCAGACAAAAGGGGGGGGGACAGGGAAAGGGGGGGGGGTACGAAATCTGCTGCATGCAGCTGGTGTCAGCCCCACCGAGGGGCCCCTTCCTCGATACATGGCCGCCTCCGGCGCCAGGACGCCGGGAGAATCAGCTACGTGAGCTGATTCTCAAACCCCCCTTTGTTATCCCACCCTTGCGCCTGGCCCGAACAAAGAAGAGAGATGTGATCAGGGAATGATGGCCCTGTTTTCCACCACCACCATAAGTTGGAGATGGGAAGGATGTGGAGGGTGAGAAGGAGGGAGAAGACGAAGAGGATGAGGACCTCCTCCCCCTCCTACTTATGGTGGTGGTAGTGGGAAACCAGCCCACCAGGAAAGGGAGAGTCATGAGAAATACCACAGCCCTCGCAGCTGCGGATGAGCGTGAGGGGGGAGGGGGCCCGGGCGGCGTTGGAGCCCGCCGCAGGCGCCCACTGCTCTGTCAAAGCACCAGGGGGGGGTCGCTGGTGGGCCGCGGGTGATCGCGGGTGGGTCGCGGGCGAACACGACGACGAAGACGACGACGACGTCAACAGCCACGATATAGTTTCAAGACTGCTGTTCCCGCTCCGCTGCTGCCCGCGCGCTGCCCAACGTGTGCGCCCCGAAGCCTCGATGCCTGACCTCTTCGTCTTCGATCGTGCTCCTGTTGGGGGTATACCTCCCTTGCCTGCCGCGTGCCGTTGGCGCGGCCTCCAGAGCAGAAGGGAGGGGGAGGAGGGGGGGGGAGGAGGAGGAAAGGGAGGGAGGAGGAGGGACCGAGGAAAGGAAGCGAGGGAGCGAGGGAAAGGCGAGGAAAGGGAGGAAGGAGGAAAGGGAGGGAGCGAGGGAAGGACGAGGAAACGAGGAAGGAGGCGAGCGAAAGGGAGAGAGGAGGATTGAGGGCGAGGAAGATCCAGCAAGGGGGGCGAGCGAAAAGCATCGTCTTGGCAAGCGGGCCCTGGCGGCCAGGTCGGGCGGTCTGGCCTCGACCGGCGGGTGGGGCGGGCGGACCCCAACGGGCGGGTCGGGGGTGCGGCCCCTCGAACGGGTCGAGCGAGACAGTGAAGCGGGCGGGCGGTGCGCAAGCAGGCGCACGGGCGGAGGGGGTCAGGCAGGCGCACTCGTGCGGACTGGTGTCGAGCGAGGGGTCCCCGATGGGAGGGTCGGGCGGGCGGGGCATTGGAGCGAACCCTGCGTAGATTGCGAAGAAGCCTCAAAGCGAGAGCACGAGCCCTGAGTCAAATGTGAGGACGTCTCGCGCGCGAGTCGGGCGTCGAGGGCGCGGCGCCTGGGAAGCTCGAGCTATTTGCCGGGAAGTCCTGAGCGAGAGCGCGATTCCCCGGCAAACTGTGAGGGAATCCCGCGCTCGGCAGCGACTTGGAATGAGCTGTGCAGAGATATCGTGCGGGAGCCGCTCCTGTTGTAAACCAGGGGCCGTGGGCGCACTTTGAGCATCAAGACTTCCCCTTGGAAAAAAAACCATGGTGCGAGCCAGGGGGGGGGGCACCTCAACCGACGACACCCCGCACCACGGAACCTCACAGCAGCCCCGCACCCAGCCCGTGGGGCCGATGTCAGAGGCCTACTGCGGACCTAATGGCCTCTGCGAGGCCGTACAGGTGCGGGCCCAGCAAGAGGGGGGGGCCCTTGCGCGCACCACTGAAAGCCGAGCGGGAGGGAGGCAGGGAGGCGGCTGCGCCACAAGAGTCCGATGCGGGTCGAACTGGGGAGAGACCGGGGTGTACCCTGACCTGAGCAGGTCGGCACCTCTCTGCATGAGGGCACTGGCGCCAGCTCCGTGACAGCACGGGGGATTCCAGTGCACAACCCATGCCAAAGTGGCCCCTCTCCGCACGGACAGCATAGAGGCGAGGCGGGGAGGACGAGCAGCAGGGTGGGGGGCAGGGGGGAGGCTGGAGCCCAGCGGCGACCAGCCTACACAGCCCCGCAAGCGTCGTCGTCGATCGGTCGATCGATCGCAAACATCAATCGATCGGACTCGATCGAACGGTTCGATCGGGGCTATGTCCGATCAAACCAAGGATCGAGGATCGGTCGATCGGGTGTCGGTCGATGGAGATTGGGTCGTGGATCCAGGGTCGATCGAAGGTCCATCGACCGAAGATGGAGGACGATCGGTTGATCGATCGATCCCGATCGATCGAAGATCGGTCGAGGATCGACCAATCCCCCGATACCCCGGTGCCGTCGGGAGGGATTCCGCGACCAAGAGCTGCCCCCAGATAGAACAGGTCCCGCCTTCTTCGGCTCGTCGCCGTCGTCGTCGCCGCCGCCGCCGCCGTCGTCGTCGTCGTCGTCGTCGTCGTCGTCGTCGTCGTCGTCGTCGTCGTCGTCGTCGTGGTCGTCGTCATCGTCGTCGTCGTCGTCGTTTGTCGGCGCCGTGGCGGCGCTACATACCGCACCGGCGTCGGATCAGCCAGGGTGGCACGGCTCGCCAGTCTTGCCCTCTGGTGCCGGTGTTGCCGCCCCCCCTTCAGCAGGGATGGGCTTGCTTTCCACCACCACCACCATAAGTTGGAGGGGGAGGGGGTCCTCCTCCACCTCCTTCTCCACCTCCTCCTCGTCCTCTTCGTCCCCGTCCTCCTTCCCCCCATCCAGCTCCGTCAAGCAGGCACCCGACGCCCTGCACAGACAAGCAAGACGGACCAGTCCTGCAATCGCATCGGCCTTCGGGGGTCCTCGCCCGGCCCTGGGACCGTCAAGCGCTGGCTCGGGATCCAAAGCTGACTACCTACCAGCACCCCAGCCTAACCCGCAGACCCAAGTTTCGAGTTTGGGGGAGTACGGGTTCCACATGTGATTTTTCGATGTTCCCCGACCCCCGCCCCCGACCCCCTACTGGAAATCGAAAGTAAATTTGGGCCTTCGGGTTGGGTTGGGGTGGCTTGGTGGGTGGTGAAAAGCTGGCGCTCGGGAAAGGGTCGGGCCTTCCAGGGACCCCCTGTATGAACAGCCAGAAAAGAACGAGATGTCCAATCTCTACTGGGGGCCTCCAATATGGAGCCCGCCCTGACCTTCCAGGAGGGCTAAAACATAGCACCAGGACCTCGACATATTATTTCCTGTCGAGGTTTCAGGCAGTCCAGATAGGTCTATCGGTCTGGAGGGCTAGTGCGAGTGGACATCGCCGATAAATCGGCGACGTCGGCGATTCACTGGCGCCGTCGGCGTGGAACGAATCTGGCTCCACGTCGAGCCGCATCGTCACTGCATCGGCGATTCGGCTCGAACCTCTGACCCCATCCACACCGATACCGCTACTCACCAGACCTCTCCCGTGGTGCGGTTGGACCCGAATCTCGAGGCGAATCCAGCCGTGGCGACGAGGACCTCCCAGGAGGCCCAAAAAGGCGAAAGCGAATCAGTGCTAGCGGCATCAGTGCTCGTTCCTGCTCTGACGTCTTGGAGGCCTGGATCTGGGCGTCCCCCCTCCCCCCCCTATAAGGCTCGATGCAAGCAGCGAGAGCCAACAACTAACGGATAAAAACAGCGGCCTTCTGCCATTGAGGCAGCGCCGCACGTCCACGCACCATCTCCAGCCTGGCGGCACGCTAGGGCCTCTAGGGATGCCGCGTCGCTCAGCGAGGGGCTCAGTGTCAACTCGACTCCCGCTCACAACTCACAACACCGTCCACGGGGATGTCGAGAAGAAAACGGAGGAGGCTGGCTATCTTGTTACAGAACAGCAAATTCACAAACAAACGCACACCATTTCAATGTTGCCTTCTTGAAGGCGCCCAGAAGCCATCAAGGAGCCTCAGGTGACCCCCAGGGACCTCCGTAAAGCCCAGGGGGACGGAGGGCGGAGGGCGGAGGAGGGTGGGTGGCGAAGGAGGACGGAAGGCGGAGGAGGGTGGATGATGGAGGAACGATGTCGGGTGTTGCTGGAAGGAGTCCTGGCCCAAGGTGTCCCGAGCTCTTCGCGCCATTCTGGAGCCCCCTGGGGTCCTCTAGGGCTCGTCGTGAGGGGTGCTCCGGAGGCCCCCTGGGCAGTCAGTCCTGGGACTCTCTGGGGACACCTCGGGCTGGAGGGCCTCCTTGGGCAACACCCGAGGACGGGGCGACGTTAAGGTCGCTCGGGACGACACCTGAAGTCCGCCGTTGCCGAAAAATTGCAACATCGCAGAAAATCACGACTGGAGCCCCGGACCCCATCTTCCTGTGTCATTTTTCGAGCCGGATCGATCTGTGAGGGCCCCGGGGCTCGAAATGGAGCGAAGACGCCCGTTGTGAAAGAATGGCAGCGCCAGGATCTCAGGGACGGTGCGGTCGGAAGCCTCGGCGCGGCTTCCCGCACGCAGGCGGCCGCGCCGGCGAGGTGTCTCGCCAGGGCTCGAGCGAGCGGCCACTGCGTGGCCGCCGCGTGGCCAGCCGCTGGCCGCCCCTGCCGCAGGGCGGCGTGGCCCTGCGGCACATCGACGGGGACTGACCAAGCTCGAATCGGTCCGTATCCCTGAGTTGGGGCCTGTCCCCCAACAGGGGGACTTTGGACGACAAACATTTTGAAAACACACACACACACACGCAAAACAACATCCAAAAATATTCAAAACATAATAGAAAAAAGTCCCCGGAATATTTTTGATTATTTTTGAATATTTTTGATTATTTTTGAATATTCCTCCAGGCCCGACTTAACCTAATCCCTAAGATGGGCAAGCCAAGAGCGAGTGACGATCTTGGGGAGATGCCCTCAGAAACTGCGTCAAAATCCTTAAGATCGTCATCGAGGTAAGGTGGTGCCAAACATAGGGACAGGGCTGTGTGTCAAACTTGATGGGCCCGTTTTCCACCACCACCACCACCACCACCATAGATTGAAGGGGGAGGGTCCTCCTCCTCCTCCTCCACCTCCTCCTCCTCGTCGTCCTCCTCCTCCTCCTCGGCCTCCTCCTCCTCCCTCCCCCCTCCAACTCATGGTGGTGGTGGTGGAGAAGCACAGGCCCATCAAAACTGGTAAGGGACAGCGCCGGGTCACGCGGCCCCACGGGGAGCCTCGGCGGCGACGTGCGTGGACGACTCGCCGGGCGCATCCGCGGCGCGCGCTGCCTCCCCCGGGCGCGTCGCAGCGCGGGGCCGCCAGGCACCGCTGCTCCAGAACGCGCGCGCTCCGAAGCATGGCAGCGCATCCTGCGGCATCGAGCAGGGACATCGGACCGAAGCGGAGTGCGCATCGGACGGGGTGGTATCCGATGGGCCTGTTTTCCACCACCACCACCAGAGGAGGAGGAGGAGGAGGAGGAGGAGGAGGAGGAGGAGGAGGAGGAGGAGGAGGACCCCCTCCCAGTCCTACTTATGGTGGTGACGGTGGAAACAAGCCCACCAGCATCTGCACGGAGCCGGCGTTGAGTCGGATCGTCCGCGCCAGGATGCACAACGACCCCATGCGAACACCAGGCCACATCGGGGGCATCAAGATCGAGTCGGATCGAAGCGGCTGGAGCCGATTTCGAACCGGGTCGATCGGATAGAGATGGACCCTGTGGGCCACGTGGAGCGCCACGGCAGCGTGCGCCTGCGAGCGGCCAGCGCTAGAGGCTCCAGTGCCAGCCTCTGCTGCCACCAGCGTGTCGAAGTACGACTCCGTACCGAAGCTAACGAAGCACTCAACCACGATAGGAGCCGTTGCATTCAAACCAATCTGCAAGGCACACGACTGACCGGTGCTGTGATAGCTCGGGCAATTTGACTTGCCACACAAGCGACGCCCAATGTGCACTCGCCAGTGATACCCGCTAAAGATGTACGACAGTGCTGTCCGTAGCGCGGGAGTGAGAGTAGGAGTCAAGTTAGCAACTTCGAGCGAGTCTGAAATCCCCCTTACCCCCCCTCTCTCACACAATATAAACATGAAGTGTGGCACAATTTGGCACTGGGATTGGAATGGGCTCCCACCTCGCAAACGAAAGGCGCTCGCGAGCGGCCCCGCTATTCGACGACTTGGCGAAGAGAAGACCACGCGGGACGCGCAGGGGCGGGAGCGGCAACACTTCCGATGGGCGCGGCGACAGCGAAGCACGTGCCGCGCTGACACAGCACCGGCACTTCCACGCACAGCGCAGCGCAGCGCTCGGGCGAGGTCGGCATCTCGCCCCTCCTCGCGCGGCCCTGCTGCCGCCGTCGCTCTCATGCCACTCGGTGGACGAAGCGTGCGCCGCGTCCGCGCTTGAACGTCACCTCCGAGCGAGGTGCGCACGGAGCTCGGGCGAGGGCGACAAGTCGCCCCATCGCGCGGGCCCTCAATCATCTGTGAAAACATATGCGCCGCGTCGGGGCTGAAGCGCCACTTTCGGGCGAGCTCTGCGCGGTGCCGATGCGAGAGCGACAGTTTCGCTCGTTTGCGCTGCGACGGAATTGTGTGCGAAAAGTGAGCGCCGCGCCAGAGCGGGAGCTCAATCCCCTAGAAAATTACGCTCGGCGCCGAGGCGAGAGCGCCATGTCGGCCTTCCGCGCGGCATGGGTGCCCCCCCCACTCCTGCCACGCATTTTACAACGTGGACGGCAGAATGTTCATTGCTTGTTTCGTTAGGCTGGATGTATCGGCCTGCTAGGTGGCAGAGTGGGAGTATATACGAACAGAGGACAGGGATAGGAACCAGCTGCGGATGCGAAGGTACCTAAATGCCTAAAAGCAAACCGGTTAAAGAGAAAACCCTTGCAGCCGCCGTCATTGGCCGGCCTTGCTCAGGACTCTGGGGGCTAGCCAACCGCGAACCCGTTGCAAATATGATGTTCAAGTGGGGGTGGTGCATTGTTTGCCCGGCAACCTACAATCATGGCGCTGCTAGAAAGAATACTAAATAAGGAACCAAGCCCCGTCTCAAAATCGAGCCACTGACTTCTAAGGAGCAGCCGAGCCCATTATTGGAGGCGTTCCCTTGTCGTTGCGCATGAATTTGATTGTGACAACCCCCCTCCCCGAGGAACGCCATGGGGGGCCCCTGCGAATCTGCGAGGGAACGCCAACAGACCCAATGAACCACCGAGCCCCTTCCGAGCCCGAGCTGGGCCTGATTTCGACGCCTCTGATGTAGATTGCCTGTAGGAAACCCAATCAAAAACCGATATTGTCACTCCCCAGAGGGTTTTCTGCCCAGCATTCCGAAGCGAATCCAACGGTGGTGACGAGGGCCTCCCAAGAGGCCCAAAAGGGAAGTCCGAGGGAAAGGTGGAAGATGTGGGTACGTCTTGCCCCTCTGAGCTCATTAGCTACAGCCCTTTATCGTCTACAATCGTCAGAGTGAGGGGGCCGAACGGTCATTCACTGTCCATGGGTGCGTGGCTGAAGTGGAATTCCGCGGTGCGGATTATCGTTGTTGTTGTTGTTGACGTTGTTGTTGTTGTTGTTGTTGAATATTATTACTTCTAAAGAATAATTATTGTTGGGCCCCCTGGTGCACGCCCCCCTCGCCGCGCCTAGGCCGCAGCCACATTTTCATCATTTTCGTGAGGAAGTCTCAGGCAAAACGGGGGAGTCCGGATCCGGTTGTTTTGTTGACGCCCGCTTTCCCTGTCAAAAAACAATATAAAATGACATGTCTTGTTCTAACATAACCAAACTTCAAGAATCCTTTGCAACAAATGACACGAAGTGCACATTCGCGCGCGCAAGACGAAATCCTTCCAAAACCTTAGTTTTCGTAGCGATTTTAACATAAAAACATCAAAAAACCAATGGTTTTTCAAACAAAAAAAAGTGTCAAAATTTCATCCCGCGCGCTCTTGCGGATTTGTAGGAAACCCAACACTTTTTAAACATTTCTGTCAAACGGGCTTTTGCGAGCAACTTTTTCACGTGCTTCGAACTTCTCCAACAACGGTTGCGCACCTGCCAGGGCCATCATCCCTGTCAAATAATACCATGCGGGACACATTCGTTTTTTCTTCGCGCGCGCACGCCGAAATCTTCAAAAACCATTGGGTTTTAGGAATTTTAGCACCGCGCAACATAAAATCATACGAATCGCACCGTAGGTCCTCGAAAAACATCTGTACGACTAAGCGTATACTAAGCTAGCGTCCAGAAAATGTTACCACAACAAGTCACTGTACCCATGCGCCAGTGTAGTAGCCACGGTCGTCCGCAGGCCACGAAGTGAAGTGTCCGAACGTCATAGGGCGGGAAGCTGGGTGTGGGTGGTGGCGAAGAGTCGTTTGGAAATGTGGTAGAGCTTGAACCGGCCCCCCCACAAAGTGGGGGTATTGGCGGGCGTCGTATGAAAACCCTGGCACTGGTGAGAACGGAGTGTCCCCACGTGCTAGTAATTGTTGTTGTTGTTGTTGTTGTTGTTGTTGTTGTTGTTGTTGTTGTTGTTGTTGTTGTTGTTGTTGTTGTTGTTGTTTGTTGTCGTCGTCCCACCCGCAACCCGCCCCGCGACCCACCCGCGACCTACCCCGCGACCCACCCCGCGACACACCCGCGACCCATCCGCGACCCACCCGCGACCCACCCCGCGACCCACCCCGCGACCCACCCCGCGACCCCCCCGCGACCCCCCCCGCGACCCCCGCGGCCCACCCCGCGACCCACCCGCGACCCACCCGCGACCCACCCGCGACCCACCCGCGACCCACCCGCGACCTACCCCGCGACCCACCCGCGACCCACCTTCGACCCAAACCACGTTCAAGGTACAAACCACAATTTTCGGCGCCTGCGGCGAGCATATTTTGCATTCGTTTCAGGTGGAGAGCCCGCGGCCCACCCGCGACCACGTTCAGGGTACAAAACACATTTTTCGGCGCCTGCGGCGGGCATCTTTTGCATTCGCTCCCGGTGGAGAACCCGCGGCCCACCCGCGACCCAAACCTCGTTCAGCGTATACAAAACAATTTTTGTTGGCGCCTGCGGCGAGCTGCTTTTGTATTCCTTCCAGGTGGAGGTGGAGAGCCCGCGACCCACCCGCGACCTAAACCACGTTCACTGAACAAACCAATGCCGCACAAGCGCGGCGGCGGATTCTTGCATGCCGTCTGAGCCCGCAAGGACGAGGGGGAGAGGGAGGACGAGGAAGAAGAGGAGGAGGAGGAGGACGAGGTGGAGGAGGAGGATGACGATGACGATGAGGACGAGGAAAAGGAGGAGGAGGAGGAGGAGGAGGTGGAGGAGAGTGCCATCGACAGGGAAGGTGGGGGCCACGAGGTCCGCCGGCTCGACGACGCCCGCGTCGCCCGCGCCCGCCCCCTCACTCTTATCCGCAATTGCGGGGTGCTACGTATTTTCGATAAGCCCGCGGGCGCAAAACGGTCAGACGCTGGTCAGCAAGCGGTGGGGTTCACCAGGAGCGAATTGAGGCACTGAAGCGAATAGGAGGAGGAGGAGGAGGAGGAGGAGGAGGAGGAGGAGGAGGAGGAGAAGGGGGGGGTGGCGGAGCGGGGGAGGAGGAGGAGGAGGAGGAGGAGGAGGAGGAGGAGGAGGAAACAGGAGCAAGAGCAAGAAGGGCGAGGAGGGCCTCACCTGATGAGACATTCGAGCGCGGCGAGGGCGAGAACGGGCAGGCGGGAAACGCAGAGGGCGCCAGTCGACGGGCAGGCGGCGCACGAGCGGTGCGGGCGAGCTGCCGAAGACAAAGCCAAGAGCAGGCATCGACTCCGAACGAGCAGAGCAAGGAGGAGGGAAGACGGAGAACCATTACCCCAGCACGGCACCCTCAGAGGAGCAAAGGTGAAGAGCTAGGAGGTCGGCTTCGGGCGACAGTGGTGGTAGCGCGGCCATGTGCATATTCGTATTTCTTGTTGCGAAATATCGAGGCCATCAGGACCGCAAATACAGTCAACACTGAGGCGAGTTAACAAGTCCTGAATAAGTTGTAAGGAAATCTGCCCGCTGTTTTACCGCTATTTGAACCACTAACAGAACGCGATCAAGCAAAAAGGACGACGAGGAGGGAAACGGGAGGGCGGGGGCCTCCTGGGAGGGTGCGGTCAGGAGAGGAAGGGTAGCGAGAAGGGCAAGGTTGGGGAAGAGGTGCTGAAGGTAGGCTAGGGGATCAAAGCGCGGCAGCGCCTGCACCGCCATGCAGGTCGACCGCCGGCGCTCGACCAAGCTGCACCACTTCATGCCCCCTACGCATGACAAGCCCAAACCTCAGGAGTCATGGGACACCTCACTCGCATATGTATTGAAGGCCCGTGGCCATGCCCTTGCCATGAAACAGGGCACCATCGCCTCACTAGCGGCGCGCCTCGGTGTGGCTAGTCACCAATGATCGCGTGCCAGTCCATCTTTGAGTTCTTCCGCCTTGCCGTGGGCGTCGTCTCCTGCTGGGCCTCCCCAAGTCTCCGCGGCATATTGTTAGAGCTCATATATTTTACATGTGCGCATGGACTCCTTCATGCCAAGACCATCGTGCGCGCGCTTCGCGCGCATGCTCAAACTCTGGCTAACTTGGGTGGCACGGCATAGCCCGGAAGAGAGCCCGTACCATCATCATTCTGAACCGCATGGTTTCGATGACATGTCAGGGTACTTTCTAGTTTGACCTTTGAGCAAGCTCTATGGCCTGCCACAGGGACGCCATGCACGATTCCAATATAAGCACCGAATATTTCAGTATTCGGCAAAACAGAACTCATGAATGCCTCCAGGTGTGGACACATTGTAGCTATCCGAGAGGCCCTTTGGCGCACCGTTGGGACCTCTCCGGAGGAGGCGAGGATGAAGATGTAAGACTAATTCGCCGATCTCCGGTACCTGGTTCACAGTATTTCTAGTTCGCGCGCGCGGGGCGGCCCCTGGGGGTCCCCGGACGAAAAGTACCCCGGCAAGGTCCCGGCAAGTCCCCGGCAAGTTCCCGGCAAGGTCGGGTCAGAGATGCCGGAGTTCTGTTTCGGAGTCCAAGAGGGCTCCAGATCGGTCCACGAGGGCCCCGAGAAGCTTTCTAGACGGTCCAAGAGAGGCCCGAGACGGCCAAAGATCGCCCGAAGACGCCCCAGATGGCCCCAAGACAGCCCAAGAGGCCTCCAAGACGCTCCAAGGGTCCAAGGGCCTTCCAAGAGGCCTCCGAAGAGGGCCCCAAGTTGCCAAAATCGTTGATTTTCCTTGGTTTGTTCGATGCTTTTTTGCGTTCTGGCCTTTTCGCTTCCGGACGCTCCAAGAGGGCCCAAGAGGCCTTCAAGACTGCTCCAAGACGGCCCACGAGGCTCCCAAGACGGCCCCGGAGCGGCCCAAGAGCGCCCCCCAGACGGCCCAAGTGCCGCCCAAGGCGGACCAAGAGGCCCCAAGACGGGCCCAAGAGGGGCTCAAGAAGGGAACCGAGAACTGAAAAATCGAGCCCTCCGCCCCAGAAGGCGCCCAGGACCCCGAAAGAGGCCCCAAGAGACTCTCCAAGACACCCCCAAGACGCCCCAATAAGCTCCCGTGAGGCCCCAAGAGGACCAACAACGTCAGGCCCCAGGCCCCAAGAGGACCAACCAATACCGCCAAGAGCCCGCCGAAAGCCCCCCAAGAGACCGTCACGAGAGCTCAGGAGGCCCCCTGGAGGCCTCCCGAGTTCTCCAAGCCTAAAAAGAGGCGCCAAGAGGCCCCAAACGGCCCCAACGAGGCTCCAACAGGCCACGAACGCGCAAGCAAACGCCTGCGATGGCACAATACGGGCCGGCGGAATGAGCGAAGCGATTAAATAATAGTCGCAATAAAGAAGAAGAAGAAAGAGGTGACTGAGGAATACTAGAGGGAATGGTGATAATACGGGAGGAACAGGAGGAAGGATGAGGAGGAACGGAATATGGTGAGAAAAAAACAGTGGTGAGCAGGAGGAAGAGCACCGGAAACGCGTACTCACGGCGAGTCGCCACCGCCCGCTGCTGTGGACAGATACCTATTTTGCCAAATACTTGAAACGCGTCGCACCTGTTGCCGATAACCGGGAGACATTTCACTCGACAGTGGTCGAATCATAAAGGCCAGTTGGGCCGTCTTGGGGCGCCCTGTGGGCCGTCTTGGTAAAACCTGGAGCTCTCTTGGGAAGTCTTCGGACCCTTTCGGGATGCCTTGGGGTCCTTTCGGGCCGTCTGGGGTCCCTCGACGCCGTCTTGAATGTCTCTTCGGGCTGCATCGAGGCCGTCTTGGTGCCCAGTTGGGCCGTCCTGGGGCCCTCTTCGGCTGCTTTGGAGCCTATAGTCAACAGTCGTGGGGCCACCTCGGAACTCTCATAGGACTATTTTGGGCGGCGTGGGGCGATTTGGGTGCCTCTTGGACCTCCTGGGCGCCCTGAAGATCGAACGTAGTCACTGATGCTGGTGCTTTCGCGGCTTCCCCCAGGGGCTGCCTCCCCTTCCATCCTCCGCCTTTCCCTCTGCACTCTTCCACCACCGCCTCCTCCCGCTGCCTTCCCCGAGCTCTTTTAGGCCATCTTCGGGCGAGCGGGGCCGTCGTGGACGCACGGTGCGATCGTAGAGGCAATGCGGGCCGTTGTGGACGCCAATCAGTCTGAGAGCGCTGCGAAATCCCAAGCCGTGGAACAAAAAAGAGGTTGGAATGAGTCTTGCCCGACGAGGGCCTCCGAGGCGTCCTCCTGGGGGCCCTCCCTGGGCCTCCGGCGAGCCTGTGGAACGCTCCTGCAGGCAGCTGGGGCTGGGGCCATCCCATCCTAGGGATGTCTTCGCCGTCGTGGAAGCGTCCTGTGCCCCAACGGTGCCGTATTGAAGGCACCCGTGGCTTCTCTCAAGTCATCCTGGGGCTCTCGAATCGAACATGACGCTGGAGGTACGGGTGGTTCTTGCGAACACCGTGCGACAAAAGTTTGATGGGGTCCTGATGGAACCCTCCTGACGGTCTTTTGTGCCGTCCTGGGCCCTCTTGGGCTGCGTTGGGCTCCTCTTGACCAATCTCTGAGGGTCATCCTGGGAGCTCTCCTGGTGGACCGCTGTTACGAGAGGCCCCCCAGACCAGACCGAGAGGCTTCCAAAAGGACCCCAAGACGGCACAAGAGAGCCCCAAGAGGCCCTCAAGACTGCAACAAAGGCCATCGAAAAGGCCCAAGGGGGACCCAAGATAGGACTAATACAGGGAACTCGCAGGGGGCGTGGTAGCCGTCCTCAACTAATGACCACCAAGACCACCAACATGTCCACAACGGGGCCCCAAATACGCCCTCAAGAAAAACCGAAAAACTTCGGAACGGCTCCCCAAGGGGCCCTCCGCGATGCCTCCAAGAAGCCCCCAGGAGGCCCCGCGACAGGGAAGAGGAGAACGAACCAGCAACAACTACTCCAAATCTCGTATTAATTGTCCCCTGGGTCCGGTTTTTAAGGCGCCTTTTTTGTATTTGGGGGGGAGTCCGGTTTATTAGGGCGCTTTCTCTGGATTGGCGCTCAGGGGGTCCGGTTATTAAGGCGCCCCTTCGAAGAGGGGGGTGAGGAATATTAGGTCGCTTTTGGAGGGGGGGCAGGTTTTTTAGCGGGGGGTCAACTAGTAAGGGATGATATCAAGGGAAAAATAATCATTATAGTTACTTCTAGGGCTATAGGGCTATGGGTCTGTAGGGCTATAGGACCAGCGGGCTATAGGTCTATAAGGGCTATAGGGCTATATTGGCCATGGGGCTATAAGGCTACAAGGGCTATAGGACTACAAGGGCGATAGGGCTATAAGGGCTATAGGGGCTATAGGGCTTTAAGGCTCTAGGGTTATAGGGCACCCGGGCACCAAGGCACCCGGGCACCCGGGCGTGCCGCCGAAATCGGCGCCACGGCGAACCTAACCATATGGATCGGCTAGGGCCCCCGAGAGGCGAGCTCCGACGGAGGACTTTCGGCTGCAGCCACCGGGCCATCACAAGGGGCGCAGCACAGGAAGCGGAGGAGCCGTGCTGGCCACGGCGGGCCCCGGGCCACAGACAGGCTCCACGTCACAGACCTATAGGGTTCGGTCGGGCATGTCCCCCTACAAGCAGGTTTTGCCCCCCCCCCCCCCCCCCCCCCCCCCCCCCCTCCCCCCCCCCCTCCCCCTAAATAGTCGCAAATACTTAAAAAGTCGTCCCCAGAGTATTCTGGGATATTTCTGAACATTCCTCCTGTGGAGGGACACGCCCGACTGAAACCTAGGGAACGGCCCCCAAACCCGAGCGTCGTGACTGCACGAGCATGCAGCACGACAGGAAGCGGCAAGGACAGATGCATCGGAAGCCGCACATGCCACCTTTGGGGGGTCGACAGATTTGCGTACGAGGTTGGCCTCTCAGGGTCCTCGTTGGGGATCTCCTGGATCGCTCGGGGGCATCTCGGGAGCCCTTGGGGTGTCCCCCAACAGGCGGATTTTGGATGAAAAATTAAAAATCCCCCCAAAGAATTCAAACATAATCAACCATAGTCAGAAAATCGACCCCAGACTATAAGAGGACAGGCCCGATTCAGCCTCTTGGGACAGACCCGACTTGGCCTTTTGGGACAGGCCCGACCTCCTCCTGTAGAGGGACAGGCCCGACTTAGCCTCCTGGGCCGTCTGGGGCCCGGCCTTGGCCCGCCGGGGGGGTGCTCTTGTGGTCCCAGGCGTGCGACGTCGTGATGTTTTTTTAGATGCGGGGTCCACGGACGTCCCAGCCCTCTCCCCAGGGCCAGGGTCTCATCCCGTGCTGTTTTGGTGACGGGCCCACGGCCCAGCGAGGGCCCCCGAAGACCGACCACTGCCAACCAAACGCCCGCCGTGACTCTCCCGTGGCGTGAGCGCGCCTGGGGTCGTCGCCCTGGCGCAGGTGCCCCCGGCACCCCATGGTTTGTTTGGTCGGGATCACAGCCTGCTTGGGCCCCCGTCCGCCTTGTGAGCCGCGCGCCATGCCAGCCGCACAGCAAAATACCATCCTACCACCACCTGGAAAGTTATCCTGGCGAAGGGCCCGACAATATGCGGGTGCGAATCCCGCAACGCAGGTGGGACAAAAGACGGGCAGCTCCCTGTGGGGCCGCGACGCGTGTGAGGGGTATGCCAACGTGGGCGCGCTGGCGCCATGCGAACCCTGCCACTGGGGCCTTCGGTGGAGCTCCCCATGGGGCCACGAAACGTGTGAGAGGTGTGCAAGATGGGCGCGGTAGGTGGCGCTCCCTATGGGGCCACGAACCGTGTGAGGGGTTTGCCGAGATGACGCGATGGCGCCATGCGAACCCTGCCACTGGGGCCGTCAGTGGAGCTCCCTATGTGGCCACGAAGCGTGTGAGGGGTGAGCCGAAATGGGCGCGGTGGCGCCATGCGTACCCTGCCAACAAAAAAACGTCGGTGGAGATCCATGTGGGGCCACGAAACGTGTGAGAGGTGTGCCGAAATG